GTTAATTATCTTTATTCTATTTGAAGATATGGCTAATTGAAAATGCAACTTTACAAATATGTCAATATTGATAGCTAAAAAGGGGTATGAACCTAAAATTTCAAATGGCCATAACTTCTAAACGACTTGGAATTGGCAAGTCAAATTTTGGGTTTGTTCGTCAGACATGTTGGTGCACATTATATCCGAGTTTCAAGAAAATCTGAGACGGTACCCAGCCATCCCATTTGTTGAGTTGGCACGGAATGACCCGTAAATTTTACAGTACCATACATTTTAATGCCATTTTAACATTTTGCAATTAAAAACTACTCGAACGAATGTAATCTGTTTAGTCATTTAAACAAACAAGGTTAACTCATGCTAATACACTACATACCACTGTACACCAAATTTAATACAGGCTGGGTATGCAAATCGGTACAGTGTTCTCTATTTATAATTTTATTTATTTTTTTTTTTTGTAGGATTGGATAGGAAATTATAGAAAGAGGCAGGCAGGAGCGGTGTATACTAGGAAGAAAGAGCTGAAAAAAAAGCTCCAAGTGGATACAATATGTTTGTCTCTGAATACCTGTGCCAAGGTATATTGTATATTAAAATTAAAAAAATAATTTTTTAACTTTTTACAGTACCTAACATGTTTTCACATTTAATATTATTAATTTGATGTTTTTTATACCACTTTTTGATAAATAATAGTAGATCCATTATGTTTATCATTGACTTTCAAGAAAATTGTTTAAGTTTGTTGTTATGTCATTAATGTGCTGTGTTGTATAATTGGTAATCCATAAAAAGAAGCATTTCTTATTTAAGATACAAGAGCTTGTATATAAGTAGGGTTTTAGGATACTTAATTATGGGGTTTACTTATTTAAAGATTGAAGTATTTTTTTCCTATCATTGCCATTATACATGTGTATGTTTGCAGTGTAAAACCCAAAAGATCAAAGAGTATTTCAAATAAAATCATAAAATATTATAAAATAAAAAAATAAATATAAATAAATATTTGACCATGTTAAGATTCAATATTTTAAGAATAATTAAGCTGCCATCAATAATCAGTCAATATATTCTGTATTTTGCACCTTCAAATATTCTGAAATCAAGTATTGATACTGTATTTATTATTTATACAGAACTGGCTAAAGGCACACCAAGACAAATTGCCATGTCTAATGCCTCAAAGGAGTGGAAGAAAATAAAACATCAGGGCAAAGATGAAACGTACGTAAATAAAGCAAAAGAAATAATTCTTCCAAGTCCAGAAACTATGACGGAAAGTCCAAAACATTTGGCAATTACAAGAATTGTGAAGGACATAGAGGCAAAGGTAAATTTTGTATCTCAAGTTTTTATATTTCACTGTGCTTTAAATCAAATTATTGTTTGATCATAATATAATTTATTTCTACAGATTGAAGAATTAGGAAAGTTAGGCGGTGAGGGCCTTGCTGTTATATTTGTTCCAGCCTCAGGGAAGTTATTAAAGACCGGAACCACAGAAGCCATTAAATATCTAGAGACGTCTGATATCGATGTTAAGTTTTCAAAATTTATAAGTGGTAAGTACTGTAAACATTTACTTCATACATCGTGGAACAGTTATTTTACCTGCAAACAGTCTAAAAATCACTTTTCAAGCAACTATTAAGCAGTTAAAATGCCTCCAGTATACAGTTTTAAAGTTTAACTGACAGTGAGGCTAATACTCTTAATATGGTACTGTAATGAATTTTATGTTAAATGAACAAACTGTAAAAAATAAAAGTCAAATCAGTAGCTAGATATACAGTGTAATTATTAAAAATTTTTAAGTAATCGAGGGCAGTTATTTTTTTAATTGTGGTATTTATAATGAGCATTGTTGTTCGCTCTTGATCATAGTATTTCTGTAAGCATTAAACTTGATACAATAATGAATAACCAAATAAAGTGCCACCCACGAAACCCTTCCAATGTTTTTTTTTTTTTTTTTTTCATCGCTGTTTTTAATCTATCTTTAAACCATATTTCTTCTAATATTAACCCCGGGTAACTATTCTTTGAAGGTGTTTTTAGGGGGGTTACTAATTATTAGTGTAGGGGGTTACTATTACTAAGCTTATTTTTTACACTTGGTAATTTTCATCAAAGGACTATCAAATTTCATGCTAAAATATGTTCCATGTTTTGAATTAAAATTGGAATATTGCAGTTTTTCAAATGCAGTCACATTGTAAAAGTGCCTATATTATGGAATAAAATATGTTAAGGAGGAAATTTAAAATGTTAATTAAAATTTGGATATTATTTTTGTAAATTTTGTTTGTGCTTCTAATAGTAACACCTGGGGTTACTATTTG